TACGACTATTTTAATTTTAAAATATATGTATATATACGATATGCAGAGTTAGAAATCTTGCGTACACATGTTACAGTTTTTGTGTTACCCATTTTTTACTGTTATTTTAATGTAAAATTAACACATTATGTGATATTATTTTTGTAATGTTTAATGTGTTATATTAATGTCAGTTTCATAGCTTAACGTTTTTTGTATATCACTTAGAAATGGAATATTATATCTTGAATTCTTTTAATATAATTATTTCAAAAAAATAACATTTCTTAAAGTCACTTTAATATTAACAAGAATTAAAAAGCGAGTTTTCAAATTATTGTAAACTTTTACACGTAGAATAACCAAATTTATTAAGAGGAAATGTTTTCTGTCACGAATAAATTAAATTAAAGTAATTAATGTCATATATTAATATAATATGAAAAATAAGTTATAATGCGTTCACTTTTGTATACGTTCACATTATATAAACAAAAATGTTCCATCGGCATTCCTTACGAGTTATTTTAGCTATCCTTACATGTATTTTTTCTTTTCACTATTCTTTGTGTTATTTTTATAAAATTAAGCTTAAAGTCAAAATAATAAGCATAAATGTAAGAAAAAAATCGGTGAGTGTCGTTTAATTAACATTCATAATTCGATAAGTAACGCATCACGAATGAATTATTTTTACAACAAATTTAAAGCGTACTTTCTGGGACGTGTGAAAAATGTTAAAATTAATACTTTATATTTTACTGTGTGAATATTCATATTTAAAGATAAAAATAATAAGAATGTCCAGAGTTAGGCACCGATCTTATTAGTGTCCAGGAATTGATACTTTTACCTTACGTGAGCCGTAGGCTTGTATGCTTCTTGTGCGACGCTTTTGTGAGAAATCGTTATTTAGACGCGTACCGCGAGATGATAAAGCGCGCGCGCGGAGAGCGACCTTAATTGAATGCGACGTCAATTTTCCATATTATTCTCCGCTACACAATAATACTGATACTACAACAATATATGGTGAAACTCGTTTTGTATTTGCGTTGAAATCGAGTGGAAAGCCGTGTGGAAAGAGTACGACCAAGTTGAGCCTCTTTCCCAAGGGGATTTTGCAAAACTATTCCAATCAATGAGATATGTCGATCTGACGATTGGGAGATGAACGGAAAGTTACAATCTCAACAAACAACTAGTGCGGCTGTTTATTGGGATCGCAAGCTTCTGGATAGTTTATCTCCCAGACGATTACGAGAATAATATTGAGATTTTATATTCTTAATCCATCCGACATATTATTATACGACTATTTATTGATCATCAAGGGAAAGAAGTACCTTTGGAACAATTTAACAAGTATACTCCAACAATCTCAAATGCTCTTTCGTCCTAATTCATCTTTATTCAGAAATGGCACGCAACTTTCGTCAGCATGTCATTCTTCGCTTCTGACGTCACAAATCCGACATGGCCGGCGAGCTACAACGAGTCATAAGCTTCGTAAACCGGTGTATCATCAATTGAAATATTCAAAGTTTTTGAAGCGATTCTCCGTTCGATTTCTCGCACCGCCGTGTGTGTTAATTTAACGTTTGATAGGTGCACGTATTACAATACCGTCGACGATCTCGAACGATGAATATTCGTCATGAAATATTTGCGAAAAGAGGAGGGAAGCCGCATTATATCGGAACGACACGAACAATATAACACTGAATTAAAATCGGTACAGTAAATCGTTTACAGTAAATACGATTTATAAGACTTTCCACCGCTGCGAGATTATTGTTAATATCAATGGTGGGCTCTCTTGGCAAATTTCGATTAATCGGCAATTAACTCGTTCGCCAGAGTCGCCAGCGTAGAAAATCAAATGTGGTTTGTTATGAAAACGAGGAATGTTCTCTCTCGCTTTTCCTTTCTATATTCCATATTTACACACAGGTGGTATAAACAATTTATTATTTTTGTGATTGGACGACAAGTCGCACGACTCGATTCTGCCGGTCGATCGGTGCAATCGGTGTTTGACGACGATGGAATCTGCAAGCTGAAGTACACACATCTTTTTACGGGCAGAAACCTGCGGGCAATCGCGCAGAGAATACGAATCGAAGAGAAACGAGGAAAATTACAGGGGCGTTCCTGCGCGACGGGGGAGGGAGCGGATTTTTTTTTGGAAGCGCTTCAAATCGCGAGACGGTGGCGGCGAGGCCGTGCCGTAAAAGTCGCTCTAGTGTGGACGCGGCTTAACGCACATGGCGAAGTGCAATTTCGCGCGCGCGTGCCAAGCGCCTAACAGAGCGTATATTTTAATAAAAAGCAACGCTCGCGAAGGCTAAAAATTACCTGTGTTCACGTGGCTCGTCCTCGGATCGATAGGAGAAATTACTCCTAGCTTACGCTGCTCGTTATTACAATAGCGCGATGCGAATCTCATTTTCAACGCCCTCCGCTTGTCTTTCGCGTACCTCGCTATTCTTTTTGTCACTTAATTGATTGCTCGTTTCGCATCGATTTTGCGACTGACGTCACGTGGATGCCTGCGTCCCTCCTGAGAGAGGGATAACGCGCAAATCTCACGAATGAAATTATTCCAGCAGTAACCATGCATTGAGCTTTCCTCGTTGCTCAATTTACAGGCATTGAATTATTCATTACACAATGACTGTTTAATGTCTCTTTAATATTAACGACTATGACTCCGATGACGCGAGAGAAAATCTGGAAAGAGGAAAACAACTGTGACTCAACTGAAATTCTTTCGCAGTAATGATCCCTGATGAGTCTAACGTTTCGTTAGGCTCCCGAAGGATCCAATACGACGAATAGCATCTTGCCCGTTGTTACGCAAAGTAAAAGTATCAATTCCCGGACACGTATCTAATCTTAGACGTTGTTTTGGTCTTTAAATATTTCAACTTTCAAAAGATAGAATGTACGTATATATATTTAACACGTATATTTTATGTTGGAAGTTTAAATATTTATATTTTAGGACCAAGACACAAAATGAGAATGTCTACGATTAGGTACATGTTCGAGCATCTTTATCTTACCGCGATCGCGCAGAATAAAACGATACGTCGACATGAATCGAGACACGTCGCGCATACGCGCGCGACTCTCGCGTGGTAACGAAAGTGCTTTTAAACGCCGCCACGCCGACATTCTCGTCGTAAAAGGGACTCGCGTCCGCGGGAGCGACCTCCGCTGATTATCGCCGCTTGAAAATAGCGTGCGCCGGGGATGAAAATTACGTAAATTGCTGCGAATAAATCGGACCACGCTCGCCGAGCCGGCGTCCCGACGTCTCCGCGGCCATCCCGATCTCTCCGCGATGGAGCTCTGACGCGGGACAATTCATTCTTACTAGGAGCCACTTATCTTTCATTGTTTACCAAAGGGAAACTATCATCGTTTGTCGCTTAAGTGCGAATCCACGCGCTTGAAGAACGAGTGTTTCCTCAGATATCTCGTGAAATTTTCACTATAAAGAAGCAAAGAGACCGAGAGAGAAAGGAAGAAAGTGTACGAGAGAGAAGGACGGAGCCAGTTGCACTGGCGATCTACTAGAGGGCAACACGAATCGATTATCACTTTGCTAATGGCTCATTTCACTTAACACTCGCCTTTACTCGGGGATCGAGGGAACCTCGCCTCACCTTACTCGCTTCTGTCTACCTGGCGCGACGATAAAGCCCGCTCTCTCCATCTGTACGGCACTCGTTGACGGAATCATGAAGCTACGGGGACAGTGAGAAGACGACGGCTCGCTGTTCGGCCGCTCGTTCATTCGCCGATTCACGAATTCGCGTACTGACGTACACTGCACGAAAAAGAGAATTTCCAGGAGGTAAACGCGCTTTCGCCATCTCTGTCTGTCTCTCTCTCTCTTCTATCTCTCCGTCTCCCTCTCTCTTCCGCGCTCCGTCTCACCGCCTCTATCACTGTCCCTCTCCCGCTCAGCACGCTGTTATTTTCGGAGCACCGTGTTTGTGTTCGCATCGGGCGCGTGTGAGCGAGCGAGTGACAGTCCCCGTGCCGTCGTTATTTTCCGTTTCGTCCGTCAGTGGCTGTATTCACGCGGCGAGTATAGTGCGCTGCTGTTTCATCTGCTTGTTGCGATCAACGAATATTCGTACGGCCGAGACGAGCCGACGCCGCCGTCGCCGCTGCTGCTGCTTCTTCGGTGCCTCATAACCTCAAAATCGGAGCGGCGCGCCACCCGCCTGTTCTCTCTGTCCTTTCATTTTTCTCTTTCTCTCTCTCTCTCTCTCTCTCTCTCTCTCTCTCGCGTTCTATACGGCTGACAGAAAACAAAGCGAATGACAAACACTCGACTTATACCGTGGGTCAACCGACGGTCTTGAGGTTAAACCCGGGTTAACCGACCCCGTATTAACGCGTCGTGATCTCACCCTGGGTCGGCACTTCATGACACGCAGGATCGAAGAGTCGTTTATTTCAACGCCGGGTTAAGGAAGTCCGACATATTCAACACGACGTTGGCGGATCGCATCGGATCGGGTCGAGCCTGTGGTGGGCAAGGAGCATGTTGCTCCTCTTGACGTCGCTGCACCCTCGGAATCAATAACCACTGTATTGCATAAGCGAAAGCGTCTGCGAGCCGCGTGTCCTCGTCGCCGGATATTCGCGGCGTTCCGTGACACGCGGCCGATCGCGCCTATCGATTGCGTCCGCGTTTCCCGCAGCGATCTCGGCTTTCCGATCGCGGGACTGTTGTGTTTAGTGTAGGCATCGTCGTTGCCGCGGGAACATGCCACGCGATATAACGGATGATTTTTGAGCGACGACACGACATTGATACAGTTTCTTCTGGCCGGGAATTGCCGATAAATAGCGGACAACGTGACGATTCATGTGGCAAACGAAAGTCGAGGGTGTACACGTAGATGCGACGCAAAATGTATATACTGACGTGCAAAAGCGAGCAGTTTCCGGGCGACGAGAATTGACCTCTAAAAGGATTCTCTCTTGATGTGTTTCAGCCGTCGGTCCTCCATTCGCTTGGAGGCCAGTGGAGCAGCGACGCCAGAAAATAATAAGAGCCGTGGTAGCCTTGCGGAAACGTAACAGTGGTTGGCTTCGGCCAACAGAGGCGAACGAGATATCATGGCGACGATAGACGGCCGGCCGGCCCAGTATGGTGTGTCTCTTAAGCAACTTCGCGAGCTCATGGAGCTTCGGGGACGAGAGGGTGTCAACAAAATCAATGGCTACGGTGGTGTGCAGGAGATTTGTAAAAAGCTGTATACCTCACCCAGTGAAGGTAAGATGATTCATTGTGTCGCATTGAGGCAGAACATATAGCATTCTGAGCCAGTACAGTACTACCAGAGAACTGCTAGAATTTGAACACACAACCAGTTGACAGGATAGAGTCTGGAAGGTGAATCAACAATGCTTAATCTACAATGTGCTCTTTACTTCCTGTTTCTTGATTTCTATCTTTTTCTAGCTAAAAGCTTTAGTTTAAAGTCAGAAAGAAGTAAAGAGATGAAAACAAAAAACACATTGTAGATCTGGGCTAAGATCTGTTTGCTGTCTGAGGAAAGAATTTTAAGAATCACTGCAAGTTTATTATTCCCTGTTATAAGTGCATAGTATGCTTGAGAAACAATTTCTTGAATATAACATGACAGTCGCAGTAATAAAATGTGTACTTTCCTTGTTGTTTGTTACCAAATGACATTTTCTCACATACAAGTGCATCTTTTGCATAGTATATGGTATTACTAGTTGCATTGCTTACATCAATACGATACATCAGCGTAATGTCAAAGATTTCTTGCAATTAAAAATGTCATATGTAAGAAGCAACCTATGTAGAGGATTATGCAAGGTGCTGGCAGCAAACAAAATATGTACGGATTTTCTTCCTAGTTTATGAAAACATAAAAGACAAGAAATATTACATAGAAGGATCGTATATTAAAAAACATATGATAAGAGGTGATGTCATGATGTTTGTTACACGCATAGGTCTCAGTGGGTCAACAGCTGATATTCAACATAGGCGAGATACATTTGGTTCCAATATGATACCACCAAAGCCACCAAAAACGTTTCTACAATTAATATGGGATGCATTGCAAGACGTCACGTTAATCATCTTAGAAGTAGCAGCATTGGTTTCATTAGGTCTTAGCTTTTATCAGCCAGCGGATAATGATGAAGAAGAAAAACGTGAGTATTTATTACGTGGTGCACTATACACTTTATTTATCAGTGATTTTTCCTTTACTGTCTGCACAGCAGATAAAGGAAGTATGTATGCGCGTCACAGTTTATTAAAAATTATACCCAGCGAGATACCTCTCTTGTGATGTATATCATAACGACAAAATTTGTCGTTGACCGAAAAGCTTACACCGAAAAGCACTTCGAAAGATGCCACAACGAAGTCCTTTCCGTTTGTTTTCAGCGTTAGTAGATGAGGACGAATCGAAATACGGTTGGATCGAAGGACTCGCTATATTGATTTCTGTAATTGTGGTGGTCTTAGTGACAGCGTTTAATGACTATTCCAAGGAGAGACAGTTTAGAGGTCTTCAAAGTCGGATAGAAGGAGAGCATAAATTCTCGGTTATTCGACAAGCGGAAGTGAAACAAATCTCCGTGTCTGACATTGTCGTCGGTGACATCTGTCAGGTACATACGTGTAACACTAGTAGTCGAATTTTATGTAACTGTTTATAGAAAAAAAAAAAACAATCCGTGTCGACACGATATCTGTATCGCAAACATGATCATTGTCGAATATCAATGTGACGGAGGAAAGCAAAATTTACATTAAATTAGCTGTTTGACAATACAGATAAAATATGGAGACCTGTTGCCTGCAGACGGTATTCTTATACAAAGCAACGATCTCAAAGTGGATGAATCCAGTCTGACTGGGGAGTCAGATCATGTAAAAAAGGGGGAATCGTTCGATCCCATGGTACTTTCAGGTGAGAGCCTCGGGCGAGCTTTTAGTTCTTGTCTTTGCTGGATTACTTTTCGTTTAAAGAGCTTCAAAGTGTTTAAGGATCTCTTCGAAACTTACGAGAGACTGTATATTCGTGTATACTATACTGTTAAAAAGGTACGCACGTGATGGAGGGTTCCGGGAAAATGTTAGTTACTGCAGTAGGTGTTAACTCCCAGGCCGGTATTATCTTTACTTTATTGGGTGCTGCTGTTGATCAACAGGAGCAGGAGATCAAGAAAATGAAGAAAGGTACGTATCGTAATTCGAGTGGTCGTCATTTGAATGAACCACACAACTATAGAGGTTACTAAATTCTTGGAGTAATGCGGTCTTTATCAAGTACACAGTACGTTTTTCGAGACTCCATTAAGTTTCGTTTAGATTATTTTTTTTGTCGAGATCGGCATCAATGTCCCACTGTTCTTTTCACTCTGATGATTTAGTATACCTGTCTCTCTCTCTACTAGCAACTTCTGAATTACTCCTAAACTGCTCCTATATATCGAAAGTTGTCTCGATCAATTGGCACACGAATGCGTTATATACAATATGTTTATAGTATGAGTAGTTCGAGTAGTAGGTAGAATTTACGGGAGTTTATCTCTAATAGAAGTTGTTGGTACCATCGTATATCCCCGCATGATATTTACGAAATGTTTCAAAATGAGTGTAGACGAATCGCAGTGGACGCATGGTTTTGACGTGAATTGGTGTGATCATTTTATTATGAATTTTAAAACCAAGCCATCTCTTGTATTTCCTGTTCTATTCCCCCCGACGTTGCATTTACAGCATCTACGGATGAATTTTGTAGTTCTATTAACTCACTACTAATTGGCGAGAGTACCTGCATTTTGATTTGTTAACGTTTCGCGAGAACAGACTTGATTTGGAAAGTGTACAATATCTCTCAAGACTGCCACAATACAGCAGTGTTACTTCATAGCCATCCTGCCCTTCGTCTAATTAATCGAAAACTCTTTCTCCATTCGCTCGTTCGCATTGTATCTCACTGTCGAAAAAAAATGTCCTTATTAAGTACACGTACATATACACGAGTGAACACACACAGATTATATATCACATTATCTATCCGAATTATCCTCGTATCAAAGAATCATTTTTATGCATTTTCACTCGACAATAATTATTCGCAAGTCATTCCGTCAAATATTGTTATTCATTGTTTCATATACCGCAAATTCGTTTAAATATCGTAAATTATTATGGAAGATAATAAGCCCTTATCTATATCGATTTTTGAGGTACTACCGTCCGATTATGCCTCTTACGTTCGTAAGTCATTTGTGTTCTCGTCCCTACATAGCTATAAATGTTTCTGCTGTATAATGTTTACTTATCTTTTTTGTCTGATATGTGTATATGAGACTTTACACTCGGTAATTGCAAAAATTGACCAGAGATTATTACTGTCACATGATTTCTTAAAATAATCTAATATGGAAAGTGTCTTGGAAGTGTTACGTGCTTTTTGGATTATCAGTCTTCGAATTACTATAGAAAGTCGAGAACGCTTACAAATTTTTAATGTCAAACGTTCTACATTTGTAAATGCGGGAATTTTTAGATCAACTTCTTGTTGAGAGAGAAAAATAATTAATACAGTTATTCCGAGACCACTCCTGAGAAGTCAGATATTTAGTTAGATACTTAAGAAATTAATTCTGTGCTTTAGTTAAACTTGCAGTATTTACGATTCGGTAGAAATGAGCCGCTTCCGAGATACTTTAAATATGGAAAAGCGCGGATGTCAAAAGCATACGTATAATTCCTCTCTTTGACGATCCATGCTCCTCTGTATGTCTTTCGTTATTGCACAACCTGGAAGGTAAACTCGTATTTTTTGATGTTATCCATGAATGCACTCTCATGCACACTCTTACGGTTCCACTAGTGAAAACTTGTTCGTTTACCATAGAAGCAATAGTCGCTTCTAGTTCTTTATGTTTGACCTTCTGGGCTGTATCTACCTCATTTGTTAGTGTTTAAGTACCTCTTTGCGAGAATCCGAAGCGCATAATCTTACGAGATAACAGAAAAAGTTACAAATGTGAATTCTTTTTAAACTGTGAAACGCGATTTTACCATTGGCATACATATATTTACATAGATAGATTGCTAATCAATTTCGTTTTGCATGTATTTTTTTATCTAGAGGCTAAAAAGCAGCGGAAGAAGAAGTCATTACCAGGTGAATAACACTAAATTATATACTTATTGTTTATTACCTCGATATCATGTGTATATATACACATACGTTAATAATGCCAAGGAATTAATCGACCGTTTCCAAGCCCTCGAGGCAGCATTCAGTATACTCTTCTTTATCTTTGTCTTTCACTTCATCTTCTTCATTTACGCATCGTAAAAATATTGTTCTCTTGTTTTTCTTTTTTTTTTTTTTTTTTTTTTTTTTTTTTTCTTACGTCTCGTGTCACTTCTGTTGTTTATGTCTACGAACTTTAAATTAATGTCACGTATCTCTAAGGAATTTCTTCCTTTGTGGCCTTCTTTCCTTTTTTTCTTTTGTTTATCTCTTTATAATCGCGCTGGTGAGGTTCGATTAAAGTCGGTTTCGTCCTTTCCTTCCGTTGAGTGCGACTTAGCAGATGTGTGCTCGGACCTCGATGCAGCCTGCTTCGAAGCAAGAACGCAATAGCTCTCGGTGCGAAAATTGTGCGCTGCGAGATATGGAACACGAATCGCGTTAGCGTCGCCGAGTCGAGCTTTCTATATCCAGGCCCGAGTGCAAGGGAAAAAGAGAATTTACGTTATCCACGCTTCCGTGTTCCCTATAATTTTTGCGTGCTCTATTGGCAGTGGTTTATATGCATTTGACACGTTAGCGGCTACCTCGTTCTTGCATAGCTTCTTGTTTTTCTGCATTTTTAGTATGCGCCCTGACATAATACCCTGGTGGTTTTAATCTGTGTCTCTAACGTGTAACTGTTGTGTCTTCTAATAATCTTGGTCCATCTTTCATCGAACTTCTGGCTATCGATTAACTCGAGTGGCATCCAGTATTTCATACTTAAAAATGCTTCACAGCTCGGTATTACGAGTGTAACGACCGAGGCTCGATCGACAGCGACGACGACGACGACGATCGACGACAATTACAAGTCGGCGAAATAAGATGACGGGCCGTAATGAAAATTCCCGGTCGCGATCGCTCGAGTCGATCGAGCCTTGATCGGTGTACCGCGACGAATCACGCTCTAATTTCGGCTAATTGTACACGTAATCAAGGCGAAGAAGGGGTAGAGATTACCGGGAACAGTCACGTGAGCGGTGGAGGCGGCGGCGGTGGTGGCGGTGGTGGCAAACACGAGGGTGGCGAGAATCATCACGTGACCACCAGTGCTTCGAGCTCCAGCGAGAACAAGAAGGAGAAGAGTGTTCTACAAGCCAAGCTAACGAAACTCGCCATATACATCGGTTACGCTGGCTCGACCATAGCGATACTCACTGTCGTCATTCTAGTCATACAATTCTGCGTGACGACCTTCGTCATTCACGGCAAACCGTGGAGGAACACGTACGCCGGTGATCTGGTGCGGCATCTGATCATCGGTGTGACGGTGCTCGTAGTCGCCGTACCCGAGGGTCTTCCTCTGGCTGTCACCTTGTCGCTCGCTTATTCCGTCAAGGTAACTGATTCAAAATCAATTCTTTATGCGGGCTGTCTCGTGACGTAATGTGTGAACGGAAAGAGGATTGGCAAAAGGCGTCCTCAAGCAGAAAATGTCCTATAAACGGCACATTACGTGATGAGAGATACCATGATGATGATCCGAAAGCGATTAGTAACGCGTCATTACCTTTTGTCCCTTGTGTAGAAAATGATGAAGGACAACAATCTGGTGCGTCACTTGGACGCCTGCGAGACAATGGGTAACGCCACCGCCATTTGCTCGGACAAGACCGGCACCCTGACTACCAACCGAATGACCGTGGTACAGTCGTACATATGCGAGAAGATGTGCAAGACCACGCCGAACTTCTCAGACATGCCGAGCCACATCGGCGAGCTGATGATACAAGCCATCTCCATCAATTCGGCGTACACGTCCCGGATAATGGAGTCGCAGGACTCTACTGAATTGCCGATGCAGGTCGGCAACAAAACCGAATGTGCCTTACTTGGATTCGTGTTAGCCCTGGGCAAGAAATATCAAACTGTGCGTGACGACTACCCTGAGGAAACCTTTACGCGGGTGTATACGTTTAATAGTGTAAGAAAGAGCATGTCTACTGTCATTCCCAGGAAGGGCGGTGGATTCAGGCTCTTCACCAAGGGCGCTTCCGAGATCATCATGAAGAAGTACGTATATAGTTCTCCTCGTTCTTATCCCTCAAACACCGCGTTTTAAACGATCGACCTCGAGCTCCCTGCGCCGAGGTTCAACGGACTTGCCGTGACTTGGTTCAACCCGTTTCTAGCGACTTTTCCCACCCGCTTGGAATCCACCCGAGGGAATCCCGTTGAGTGTTAAAGCAACCCAAGTATATTATCATGTAGCGAATACATACGCTTTGACGCTTCTCGTAGCAACGAGTGTAAAGCATTCTCTCTAAAGGGATGTGACCGCATTGGATCACAGTGTGCGCGCTATAAGACGTTCTAAGGTTAACATCGCGGGATTTCCTTCTCCGACAGATCGAAGGGGAGGCTGAGATGGTCTGATCGGTCTCGTGATGAATTTGTGTTGCAGATGTGCCTTTATATATGGTCGCGAGGGTCATCTGGAGACGTTTACCAGAGAGATGCAAGAGCGTCTGGTAAAGAACGTGATCGAGCCCATGGCATGCAACGGTCTGCGCACCATCTCCATCGCTTATCGCGACTTTGTTCCTGGCAAGGCGGAGATCAATCAAGTTCACATCGACAACGAGCCCAACTGGGACGACGAGGATAATCTAGTGAACAACCTCACCTGCCTGTGCATCGTCGGTATCGAGGATCCGGTTCGTCCCGAGGTACCTGACGCGATTAAGAAATGCCAAAAGGCCGGCATCACTGTGCGTATGGTGACGGGCGACAATATAAACACCGCGAGATCCATCGCGCTCAAGTGCGGTATTCTGAAGCCGAACGAGGACTTCCTCATCCTGGAGGGCAAGGAGTTTAACCGTAGGATCCGTGACAGCAACGGCGAGGTGCAGCAACACCTTCTAGACAAGGTGTGGCCGAAATTGCGCGTCCTGGCCAGATCGTCGCCCACGGACAAGTACACTCTGGTGAAGGGCATTATCGACAGCAAGGCGACCGAAAGTCGCGAGGTCGTAGCCGTGACTGGCGACGGCACGAACGACGGCCCGGCGTTGAAGAAGGCGGACGTCGGCTTCGCGATGGGCATCGCCGGCACGGATGTGGCCAAGGAGGCCTCCGATATCATTCTGACGGACGATAACTTCTCCTCGATCGTCAAGGCAGTCATGTGGGGCAGAAATGTCTACGACAGTATTGCCAAGTTCTTGCAGTTCCAACTGACCGTCAACGTGGTGGCCGTGATCGTCGCCTTTATCGGTGCTTGTGCCGTGCAGGACTCGCCACTGAAGGCGGTACAGATGTTGTGGGTAAATCTAATTATGGACACGTTAGCGTCTCTCGCCTTGGCCACCGAAATGCCTACGCCCGACCTTCTCCTCCGTAGACCGTACGGTCGCACAAAACCACTCATTTCCAGGACAATGATGAAAAACATTCTTGGTCAGGCCGTTTATCAGTTGACCGTAATTTTTATGCTTCTTTTCGTCGGTGAGTACCGATCTCGAGCTCTCGTCGTTCGGCCCCTTTCTCTCTGCGGCGAAACGCTCTAAAACTTGTCTCTTGTCTGTCCGCGATTCACTAGGTGACAAGATGCTCGACATCGAAACGGGCCGCGGAGTCGCGGCGGCGGGTGGCGGGCCCACGCAACACTTCACTGTCATCTTCAACACGTTCGTCATGATGACTCTTTTCAACGAATTCAACGCTAGGAAAATTCACGGTCAACGCAATGTCTTCCAGGGAATATTCACTAACCCCATCTTCTACTCGATTTGGGTCGGCACGTGTTTCTCGCAAGTAAGTCACCGAATACTCGCGCTGTGTAATCGCGACGCAACAACGACGTCGTTTCTTCATGTTTACTTTATATCACATAATTCATCTACGATTATTCGCGTGCAAGACGTTTGTCATTTTTCCTCAAGTTCTTGTTTGAGCTGATTAAAACGAAAAAAATGGGACAAGTAATACTCGTTGAATATCTAAGTAAAAGATATCGAATCGATGTTGTTGGTTTTATTCGTAAAAAATCATTAATCCCTCGAAATCACAATTTCTATATTCTTTGACGAACTTCTTGCACCAACCTAATGCTTCTTCGTATCGACTGATCGCAACACCACGACGGCTGGCATTTCTTTTTTTCGCGCGAGCTTCTTTCGTCGACCATTCCATTTGATCGCGAGATCGCGAGGAACTCGCTCCGCCTCTTACATTTGTGATTCAGGGATACATCCCTGAGCGGTACATCGATAATTACATAGTTAATTGATCGCAATAGGGCGACGAGTGGACGCGAAACGCGCGTATTTAACAAGAGCGACATACGCTGCCGGGTCCGATGGAAAAGAGTCTGAAAGGCAGGACGTCGTAACGGTGACTCGAGCAGCGTCACCTCGTGTATGTCCCTTTAATAGAACTGTCTGCCTATCTTTTTAGGTGGTCATCATACAATACGGTAAAATGGCATTCAGCACTAGAGCTCTCACGTTAGAACAGTGGATGTGGTGCCTGTTCTTCGGATTCGGTACGCTATTGTGGGGCCAAGTAGTTACGACTATTCCTACACGCAAGATTCCCAAAATTCTTTCGTAAGTTAAAATTACATACTCACGCACACATATCTCTTTTTTTTATTTATTTTTCGTTTGATTTTTAAGCACAGGATCGCAGTTTATTGTGAGAAAGGGAAACAAAAAGTGAAAAAAAAGAAAAGAACGATTGCTCCAACACCCGGTGTGTGATTTTTGTGGTAGATATGAAACTTGGCAGATTTTTGCTGATAGACGTGAAACCTGCACATCTAATTAATTCCACGACGCGGTTGAAAGAAATAAAAAGACAGAAAGAAACGCGAAGAGAAACGTATTAATGTTCGTGTGATTTGTTGCTTTTCTTTCAACGGTGAAAAAATGCTAATACTCATCGTACGCGTAGTACATGTAATAATTTACAAAATCGACTGACAATTCAGTCGGTGAGATTGTCGCTTTTCTGCATCGTGACGTTCTTCATCGAACGTGTAACGGATGAAAACGCCTTTGCAACGAATGTAGTGTCTTGTCTTTTGCAATCACCGGGTGATGATGACGTTGTCGACAGGAAATCAGCATTGTACTTGATTCATAATGCTAGAGTGACTGATGTCTATCTAACGACTGCTGTTTTGCCATCACATGAATTAGCATCCTGAGTTTTCGTCTCATTAGCGGTAGATGCCTTTGCATGCTGAACCTTGAGAATTCACTCGTGCTGACTAGTATATGTACATACATATATATATGTACATGTTTATATACATATGCATGTATATATATGTACATATATATGTATACACACACATATATGTCATATTTTATATAAGTGCGTATATATATATGTATATATATATATATATATATATATACATATATATACACACATATATATATATATGCATATATATATATATATAATCGCAGAATTAGTAACAGTGTATGTCGACTCCCCGAAGAATGTTGCTCCCGTATGCAAGCTCGTGCGATTGTTCCGTCTTGACTCACGACTTGATCTTGATCGTGCTCGGCCGCGACATAAAATCACAGGGTAACCATTGTATGCAAAATTTCATTGTGTTTGCATCGAGGTGTGTATCAACAAGTTTTGACATATAGCAAACATCTAGTTGTTTGTGGCTGAAAGTTATCCTCGTGTCGATCAATATCTTCCGTCAAATTCCATTATTGTTGCCACGATTGATAATATCAGAAAACGAGAATGATCTCGACAAGGAAATTGTTTTATAATGGCCGGGGTTGTCGGTAGAAATTTAAAGAGAATTTTACACAGATATTTCTGCAGTGTTTGCTCAGATACGTATCGGGCGATCGTGTGTTATCCCTGTGACCGATTCGTTTTGTTCATGTCGAGATCGAGAGAGAGATTGTCGCGCGACGAAACGCGAACAATCGCGTACACTCAGATGTGTCCCGTGTCCCGAGTATTCCCTCGCTCCTTTCAACCTGTGCGTAATTTGGCCTTAATCGTTGCATGATTACAGCTCTCTCCGAAATCTACGTACTTGTTTGTGTACGGTCGAGCGACCGGCGACAGCGGACGTACATGTACGTGTCGCAACCATAGCTTGCACTAACAATCAAATCCGAATATATATATATCGCCTGATCTGCGATACCAACGAGGCGAATTGAGAAACGATCGTGCGAGAAACGCGAGCTTATTTTTTTGCCTGATATCGATCAGTCAGTCGATCAATTAGTTCCGATCGACGTGGCGAGCAATCCGAACGATCGAGCATTTGACGATGCTTATTAACATACACTCTTTCACTCGATTCGTTGGATTTACGTGATTTCTTAGCGCCCCTTCCTTCTCTCTCTTTCTCTATCTATCTATCTATCTATCTATCTATCTATCTATCTATCTATCTATCTATCTATCTATCTATCTATCTATCTATCTATTTCTAACTTGATTTCCTTTTTCTGTCTTTATCTTTGTTTACCTCTCTTTCCTCTCTCTCCTCCTCCCTCTCTCTCTCTCTCTCTCTCTCTTTATTACTTAGCATGCTCTATATACTTTTCTTCCCTATTCTCTTTCCGCATACACGTACATTCGCACATACAGCACATACATATGTATATATACACGCACACAGCACCCACACAAAATTGTACGCGCGAGCACATCCTTGCCGATGATTCATAACACTTTTATTTTTGCTCGTCTACTCTTGCTCAGGGATTGGAGCCGGTATATCTTCAGTGAAATCAGTTTTTGATGCCGTAAACACGATGAAAGATAGCTAATCGCATTTTACCGTCGAGAAAAGACAGCACATGGATTGCTTTCACGTGTTTGCAGTATCAAAAATATCTGAATATCTGATTTTGTAACAGTCTCGATCCCACCTCGTACTACTTCTCTCTCTCTCTCTCTCTCTCTCTCTCTCTCTCTCTCTCTCTCTCTCTCTCTTCTCTTTCTCCATAAACTAACAGGTCCTAATTCGCAAGAGAAGCACAGCACGAACGCAGCCGCCGCATGCGAGATTATCGTCTCGTAACGGGAGAAGCGCAAGTGTTAATCTCGCTAGAGAATCGGGTGCTTTTTGCTGCTCTCGCACGCGAAGTCGAGTGCACCGAATGCTACACGAGCACGAAAGGATCAGCTACCAAAGGACGGGGAAGCGCGAAAGCTTTTTATCGCCGACTAGAGAAATGTGTGCCGCTTGTAACACCGAGACACTTAGCTACTTACGTAGTATGTGTATGCCGTTCTCCGTAGGTGAACAGTACTCCGATCTCTTCTATGGACACGTCGTATTTTGTATACCGCGAACGCGCGACGAGGACGACGAGAACAGCACTCGCTGCGATCAGCGGAACACAGTCTCGCCGGGTCGTTCCCTCGGAGTCCACGCGTGTCTTCGGAAATTTTCAAACGACTCTGAATGAAACACGCAGCCTCAAGTCGATAGTGCACATCGATGATCGATGCGCAGTGCCGACTATAGTACGCGTATCGATGATAACGTCGATGATAATCGATAGCTGGCACCTGGTCGTCGGCCAATCCGATTGCGACTGGACTAATCGGCGTTTGCCGACGTTTGCATTACGGAAATCGCTCGCTCGGCGACGGGCCGCGACCGGGGACTCGGGGACGTGCGACCAGCTCGAGTGATTTTCCGCGTGAATCTTCCGCGTGAACTTCCGCGGACCGACCCGGCGACGCGCCGCGACTCCCGAAGGAGCGTTACTTTTTCCCACGAGCTGTGAGCGTGTGCAAGCTGAATAGTGCGAAATAGAGACGACAGGCATAGCGAAACGTAGTGACAGGCAGCGGCGCGATTTTCGCGTTTGTACCGCGATCAACAGGTAAGGGGAAGACAGTCGCACCTGCTTTTATAGCGCCGACCACATGACGCAAAATCGACGGGTACACAACGTGAAACGCGGTAGAATTCGTAGAAAGAGATCGGAAAGGAAAGGACGAGAGACCGAACGAACCGACGCACGTACCGACAGCGGAGAGACGCGCGAGTGATCGTCGTCGCGAATCGACGACGAGAACGGCAGGACAACGCGCGCGCGACGCATCCTTGAACGGAAACGTGGCGTCCCCCTTTGTCCCTTCCGCGTGTTCTCTGTGTTTGCGCTTAACTGCGGGAACCCTGGTGCGCGGGCTAATGCATACTACGTCGGGGAAAGCTGTGAATTGGGCAAGCGATGCATCGGATCGCGTCGGGTTGTACGAGAAGACGCGACGCGTCTTGATTTTCCGGGCTTGGTTTCCCCCGTGATCGCGCGTAATATTGTGTATACTTCTTCCTCCCTCGCTCTTCTTCCCGTTCATTATTTACTCGCACCTGTTACTTATTATCGACTCTGTACACAGAAACAAATGGCAATCGGGGATATATATACATATTTCGCCCTCTTCTAACGCTTTACATCTGACCAACATTTCGTAACATTCTGTGCACCAAATATTGTATGTGTCTTGACGTTATAATTCACTTGTACGATCTTTATGTTTACGCATAATAATGCGTATAGTCAATTGCAATATTTTTGTCTACGTGCGGGAGACACGATCTGTGTCCCTCGTAGCTTTGAGTAAATTATTTGTTTTAAAAAAATGTGATCAATGTTGAGACACATATATGGCGCCTGCCCGAGTCGAAATTTCAATTGCACTTTAATCTGACAAATTCTGTCAACTTGAAGCATCAATGGAGAATTTTGAGGTGTTGCATTTACCAGGCTATTGTCTTTTGATATTAATCATTCATGTCCGCGATTACTTATCGCCTTAAAAGTAGGGCGTATTTGAGAATTATTTAATATTCGTCCATCTAAATAGTTTCTACCTGCATTTATAATCTTTCTCAATTCATAATTTCAATGTATTCATTCTGCAACTCACTCGACTGCAGATAGTGTATTGCGATGAGCAAATGTTAGATGATCTAATGAGGATTATAGACAAATAAAATAACGAGAAAAGACTTTCCTTTCTTATAATCTCTTTATTATATTGTACTAGCGAAAAAAAATTACAAAAGGATTTGTGTATTGAAAAGAAGCGAGAAAGAAGGAATTATGAGTAGCCGACTGCTGCTACATCCGGCGTCCTGTGATCCGTTCTGGTGTCCGCTCTTGCTCGTCACCGTGGCCCGGGTGCTGCACTTAAGTGCGATTCGATCGGAAACTCGACATTGACTAATGATCGCACGTTAATCGACTGTCGAGAATGCTACGTACAAATCTTCCAATGCGTACTATTCTGATGATTTTGATAACACCTAAAAAATCTGGAATATTCCGCGAAGTTGTGACTTCTCGGCCGCCAGATGTACTCGTCATCGATTGGCGGACGCCAATGGTTCACCAATCTCGCGTCTCAAAAAAAAAAGATTTCGTGGTCATTGTTTACACCTCTTGTCGAGTGATGTAAATATTTTGTCGGTTATTGAAATATTTAGTCAGGCACGCGTTAGTCGAGACATTTCTCTGATCGAATCGTATTTACGCGACTGTCAGTGCCAGTGAGTGTCTTGCACGACGAAACAACCAGGAGCAGCCTGTTCTGTCATTTTTAACGACGAGTGTCGATTATTATTACGACGTTGTCGTTGCGCAGGTATAATACGCGGTGGAAAAGCGCGACGACACACCATGCCAGTGACATTGTCGCCATAAAATTACAGAATAGGTCTACAGGAGGGTCTGTTTTGTAACTTGCTGCAATGTCACTAGCATGGTGTGTCGTTGCGCAGCTTTTCCACCATGTATTACACTTGCGCAGTGGCAACGTAACGATAACGACAGTGTCGTTAAAAGTTAATAGAACAGACCTACGGGATCGCAGAGGAAAGCCAGAATGGAGCATGTAGGAGCCTGTCGGAATATGAACGGTGATACATTATGTATTGGTATCCAGGTGTGTTGAATTATTCACATTACACAGAATGTTTCCGATCAGAACGGACGTTTGACGAACTCACCGAAGACTAAGAGATATCCGTGAGATTTAGAAGCTATTCTAAAGCCGGCATTTCTTCTTGTTTGATAACTAATTATATTCTTACGCGTCTTTTCTCTTCGTGTATTTTAAATATTCATTCCTATCAACAAGCTAATAAAAAAAAAGATGACAAGATTATGAATGGAGGAAGAGCGCAGTGTTGTGTATACATCTATATTTATTACTTAATATTTGTTTATCGCCCATAATCCTATCTGCAGCTGAAAGTTACATAATGAATATATTATTCATCGGGGTTAATAAGAAAAATTAAATGTAGGTAGAACATTAAGATATATGGGATATTGAATAATTCCCGAAAAAAATGGTTCTTCAAACCTCAACATGTGTGTGAAGAAAATGGCAACAATTGTTTGTGACATCAAAGTAGGACAATAACCAATGTACAGAGTTGCATCTCAAGATCCTCCATTGATCCTTCAGGTTCAAATATTGTGACGACATATTTGCAGGATTAATGTAGAACTGAAATTTCGATTTTGGTAATGTATTATATCATCTCGTAACATATTCTCAATCATGATATATATCCATATGGCACCATCACGCACTATCCCCTCGTTCGTTGGCCTCTTATGTTTTGGATTTTTATTAACCAAAGTGTTTGATGCAAGTTGATCGCGATGTCTTTCTCGTTGAGACAATTGACGTGAGTTTTCCTGCTTTAAAAATCAAATGTCGTATCTTTCATCAGCTTCAAGCTAAAGCTTCTCGACAGTGATATCTCTCATCGAGATATCATCTTTGTAATCTCGGCGGAGTCTATCTCAAATTAATGAACGGAATTTTTGTTCTTTTTTATTTTTTAACGAGCTCTAAATTAATTTTTAATTGCTCATGATACGCAAGGTATTCGCGTCTCGACGTTTCTGACGTAAGAAAACTAAAATTACTTTAGGTTTACGAACGTCGCTATCGCGCATCAAACACACCTGTTTGCGAATATCCATATTTCTCACATCTTTCCGTCACACGGCGGATTTCGCTGATCATATGTTCTCTTTTTCGTGCCCACACACACACACACACACACACACACACACACTCCTATACACGCGCACACTATGCACAGACACACATGCACACACATGTGACAAACATCGTTGCTACATCGCCACCGCCTAGTCTTTTCACCGTCACTGATAATAACTCATAACTCGCTATCGACTCACGCGTGTCACTAGTACAACGTAGATTAGGAATTCTGCTAAGGAGCGAGGGGAAAACGGAAAACGGTCGGGTGCAGTGCGTCGAGGAGAGAGGGCCGGCCGCCGAGACAATATCGAAAAAAAAAAAAAAAAAAAAAAAAAAAAAAAAAAAA